AAAACTATGGACGTGCGCCTGGAAGGAAATCAGAAGCAGAATTTGTTTCCCCTTTATGCAATTAAATTGACACCGCAGTCGCAGACCCCCAAGTAGGTAAATCACGGGATCAAAGAAAAAACACACACACACATATATATATGTATGTTCTAATCAAAAAACATAAATGGCCATCATGTGCATGTTTTCGTTTGCCTCTTCCAACATCCTTTCGCTTGTCTCTGCCACGTCTTGGCCAGGAGACAGCGGATGTTGCGGAAATTGAGGATCCAGGGGCAGAGAAGGCAGGGAAAGTTCTCTTAGTTTTTCTTTTTTTTGGTTTTCTTGGAAAATGCATGGTTCTAAGTACGTACTTGTCAAGAAGAAACCCAAACAGGCTATGCACATAGGTGTGGGCAGTGGGCACATATGCAGCAAATACAAGAAGTTATCGTTATATTTGATTTCTGGCCATGGAACTTAGAATGCGTTTGGAATGCGGTGTTTACCTGCCTTTTGTCTAAATCGCACATGTTTTCCTCATCTGAAGCGCAACTTTGTGCTTTTTCTTGATATTATATATATATATACCTCAGTAAATATCATTATATTTGGTATTTGTGGGATCCAAAGTAGGTATGTATACTTTGTCACGGACTGCTTTCCGCTTCGAGCGGTGGAATTTGCAAGAATAGTGATAGACCTTGAAGTAAGTAAAACATAGAACACATGGAAGCCTAAAAAGCGGTTTTTGTATTTCCTTCTGTCCAGATATCGGGGACATGTCTACCACCCTTTTTTGCCAGGAGCCATTGGATTCCGCGGACACAGAGAAGGGGCCAGAGAAGGCAAAGGCCAGGGTTTCCATGGTTTTCCGCCTTTTTTCCATGGAATTGTTTGAAGCATGTATTTGCCAAGGAGAAACCAAAACAGTGTGTGGCCATGCGCATGTGAGCCAACCCCGGGTTTCTGATTCATGCACATAAAACCTACCACGTGTGTGCACATATGGAAAAATACAAGGCATTATCATTAGTTTGGATTTCTGGACATGGAACTTAGAATGCGGCATTATGACACCTGAAAAAGCGCAGAAGTAGTGCCTTTTGCTCGGCCAGGAAGAAAAGGCGGATCCAACAAACCAACCAGAGAAGGCCAAATATCCATCGAGGGTCGCTGGTTTCAGCCTAGTTTTGCTTCATTTTGCTTTTAAAACTATGGACGTGCGCCTGGAAGGAAATCAGAAGCAGAATTTGTTTCCCCTTTATGCAATTAAATTGACACCACAGTCGCAGACCCCCAAGTACGTATATCACGGGATCAAAGACCAAAAGATGAATATACATATAAATATATATATATATGTCAATATATAAAACAATATATATATATATACACATAAATATGGATACATCTGATATATATATATATATTTGCCAATCAAAAAAACATAAATGGCCATCATGTGCATGTTTTGGTTTGCCTCTTCCAACATCCTTTCGCTTGTCTCTACCACGTCTTGGCCAGGAGACAGCGGATGTTGCGGAAATTGAGGTTCCAGGGGCAGAGAAGGCAGGGAAAGTTCTCTTAGTTTTTCTTTTTTTTTGTTTTCTTGGAAAATGCATTTTTCCAAGTACAGTACTTGTCAAGAAGAAACCCAAACAGGCTATGCACATAGGTGTGGGCAGTGGGCACATATGCAGCAAATACAAGAAGTTATCGTTATATTTGATTTCTGGCCATGGAACTTAGAATGCGTTTGGAATGCGGTGTTTACCTGCCTTTTGCCTAAATCGCGCATGTTTTCCTCATCTGAAGCGCAACTTTGTGCTTTTTCTTGATATTATATATATATATATATCAGTATATATCACTATATTTGGTATTTGTGGGATCCAAAGTAGGTATGTATACTTTGTCACGGACTGCTTTCCGCTTCGAGCGGTGGAATTTGCAAGAATAGTGATAGACCTTGAAGTAAGTAAAACATAGAACACATGGAAGCCTAAAAAGCGGTTTTTGTATTTCCTTCTGTCCAGATATCGGGGACATGTCTACCACCCTTTTTTGCCAGGAGCCATTGGATTCCGCGGACACAGAGAAGGGGCCAGAGAAGGCAAAGGCCAGGGTTTCCATGGTTTTCCGCCTTTTTTCCATGGAATTGTTTGAAGCATGTATTTGCCAAGGAGAAACCAAAACAGTGTGTGGCCATGCGCATGTGAGCCAACCCCGGGTTTCTGATTCATGCACATAAAACCTACCACGTGTGTGCACATATGGAAAAATACAAGGCATTATCATTAGTTTGGATTTCTGGACATGGAACTTAGAATGCGGCATTATGACACCTGAAAAAGCGCAGAAGTAGTGCCTTTTGCTCGGCCAGGAAGAAAAGGCGGATCCAACAAACCAACCAGAGAAGGCCAAATATCCATCGAGGGTCGCTGGTTTCAGCCTAGTTTTGCTTCATTTTGCTTTTAAAACTATGGACGTGCGCCTGGAAGGAAATCAGAAGCAGAATTTGTTTCCCCTTTATGCAATTAAATTGACACCACAGTCGCAGACCCCCAAGTACGTATATCACGGGATCAAAGACCAAAAGATGAATATACATATAAATAAATATATATATATATGTCAATATATAAAACAATATATATATATACACATAAATATGGATACATCTGATATATATATATATATATTTGCCAATCAAAAAAACATAAATGGCCATCATGTGCATGTTTTGGTTTGCCTCTTCCAACATCCTTTCGCTTGTCTCTACCACGTCTTGGCCAGGAGACAGCGGATGTTGCGGAAATTGAGGTTCCAGGGGCAGAGAAGGCAGGGAAAGTTCTCTTAGTTTTTCTTTTTTTTTGTTTTCTTGGAAAATGCATTTTTCCAAGTACAGTACTTGTCAAGAAGAAACCCAAACAGGCTATGCACATAGGTGTGGGCAGTGGGCACATATGCAGCAAATACAAGAAGTTATCGTTATATTTGATTTCTGGCCATGGAACTTAGAATGCGTTTGGAATGCGGTGTTTACCTGCCTTTTGTCTAAATCGCGCATGTTTTCCTCATCTGAAGCGCAACTTTGTGCTTTTTCTTGATATTATATATATATATCAGTATATATCACTATATTTGGTATTTGTGGGATCCAAAGTAGGTATGTATACTTTGTCACGGACTGCTTTCCGCTTCGAGCGGTGGAATTTGCAAGAATAGTGATAGACCTTGAAGTAAGTAAAACATAGAACACATGGAAGCCTAAAAAGCGGTTTTTGTATTTCCTTCTGTCCAGATATCGGGGACATGTCTACCACCCTTTTTTGCCAGGAGCCATTGGATTCCGCGGACACAGAGAAGGGGCCAGAGAAGGCAAAGGCCAGGGTTTCCATGGTTTTCCACCTTTTTTCCATGGAATTGTTTGAAGCATGTATTTGCCAAGGAGAAACCAAAACAGTGTGTGGCCATGCGCATGTGAGCCAATCCCGGGTTTCTGATTCATGCACATAAAACCTACCACGTGTGTGCACATATGGAGAAAATACAAGGCATTATCATTAGTTTGGATTTCTGGACATGGAACTTAGAATGTGGCATTATGACACCTGAAAAAACGCAGAAATAGTGCCTTTTGTTTAGTTGGTGTGCTCGGCCAGGAAGAATGCAATGTGGATCCACCAAATGCTGCCATTTTCTCTGGTTCGAATGGTGATCCGCCAGACCCTTTTTTTGCCATCATGGATTGGGCAGCTTTCCATTCAATCGAGCTGCTGAAAGTCACGGCGCGTGACATGCGAGCCCAAGCTCCTATGATCAGGGTGCCGGTTCTTCTGTCTTTGCTGCAGAGCGCAGCCACTGCTTTGACCATGGTCTTTGGATTTCTGGATCCTCCAGGTGCTCATGTCTTTCCCCGGATCAATGCATATGCTCAGAGCATTGCTGCTCAGACAGTGGTCATTGCGGGTGCTTGCGCTCTGGACGATCTGCCTGGCCTACAGGAGAGTGAGCATCCTCCTAATGTTCGAGAGTTGATCAAAGAGGCCCAGCTTCAGCTCAAGCAGGAGGCAGAGCAACTTTCTGGATACATGGCACGGTACATATGCGGTTGCACCATGGTTGAAGCCTCTCGTATTGAGAAAGCCTTGCAAGGCACTATCAGCTTTATGGAGAAGTATCTCATGGAGTCGCCAGACCCCGTGCTGGAGGATGTTGCTGCTGGTCTTGCGGCTGTCAATGCCAAAGTGGCAGAAATCCAAGCTTGTTGGCCTCAGACAATGCCGATGGTTGAATCAGCCGGGTCGTGACGTATGTCTTTGGCCAGTCATGTTGTTTCAGTGGACGAGCGACGAGTGGATCGAAGTGGCAGAAAAGAGCGCGAGGGATTTCCCATGCACAGTCCCAATATTCTTATCAGGGTTGGTGCTGTCCATGTATGTCCATGTGATTTTGGGGCTTACATTTTGAGATCAACTTGGCCTTCCGCATCGCTGCCAATCCTTCACTTTTCACTGTGAATAGGTTCTTGTCACTGGAAGTGTGTGCATTCTCGACGCATATGGTTGATGGTAAGAGATGAGGCTGATGGGAATAGACAACCTTTTGAATCTGAAATCCCGTATATAGCCATTTCCACTCAAAACTGGCTGACTTAAGTCCATATTCCATTTACCATTTTGCAATGGATCTCCCTACTGTGCTGGCATGTTGCGATCCATCCAAGCTGGCACATGCAATTTTGTGCATGGTCTACTATTTGCTCTTGGACGCAGACCAGAACAGTTGGGAAGAAGTGGCGGGCAAGGGGACCCAAATGCTTCTGGCTCTGAAGGATGTTTGTGCCCGCGTATGCACATTTTCCCAATCATGGAGAACCTATGAACCGTTCACACAGTGTCTGCACGAAGCACTTCTGGAAGCTTCGACCAGGTTGGAACCATGCCTTCAAAGCCCAGTGACGCAGAATAAACTCAAATCACTTGCCCCTCCCGGCAAACCAATGGAGAGGTCAGGTGTTATTGAGATTCTGCGGGGCTACCACAACGACATGAGTGGCTACATCCTCGGGAACCCGACGTTATCCGAGCATCGCGCCCAGTTGTCTGAGATGGCACGCAGATTCCGAGAGTGTGCCAATCTGCTGACCGAGCTGTATTTCTTTGAGCCGCCCTTGGATAGATTTGTGTCTGAGGTTCAGGTCCTGCTTCACCATGGCGCAGATAGTGCGCAGAGTGCAATTGCAGTCATCAACGTGGCCGAAATCAAAGCTCGAGATGCTGGTCGTTGATTTGGCACAATTCTTTGCTTCGGCTGCATCTGTGGGTCTCTATACGTGGTGTGGCTTTGCAACCATCCAATCTCATTTTCAGTTGGTGCCCTCGGCAGTTGCCCACACAGACGCACCATTGTCATTTGTGGAAGTTTGTGGGGCTGTGATGCTCTTCATGAATGGCTCAGCAAAGGAACTTAGAACCACCCTGATCTCGCCCTATCGTTGCGGCCAAAAAGACACTCTATATAGTGTAGTGTGGTGCCTTTGGCTAGGGTCGTGGAGATGGAGATGGAGTAGTGAGGTAAACCTAACCATAAACAATCCTATATATATATATAGATATATATATATACTATATATAATATAATATAATATATAATATAATATAAAATAAAATAAAATAATATAATATAATATATAATATAATATAATATAATATAATATAATATATACCCATGCATTGAGTTTGGCAGGCTTGGGTGTGCATGTATCATCTTTAAGTGTTTCAATGAATGCTACCATTTTGGCTCAAGTAAACTTGAACCAAAATAGCATTCATTGCTGTTTTCTTTCTTGGTCTTGGTAAGGGGTGACCTTTCCAGACCTTGATTGGGTGGTTCAAATTATATACAAGGGGCGACCTTGTATGCAGCGCAAACTCCCAGGAATCGATATCCCGGCAGCCACTGAGGCGAAGATCCTTCATGCTGCTGCTTTCCTGGAGTTCAAGGGCCACGTGGAAAGGCTGGCGCGGGAGGGCTCTGATGCTGCAGCATACACATGCTGGATGCATGGTATTGAAGTGCTGCATTCCCCCTACGTCATCACGACTGGGACAGATTCAGAGCTTTTCCCCCCCCTGCCGAAGCTACCCTGTTGCCTTGATGACTGCCAGCGTTGCGCAGCTCATGTGGGGGGGTTCAAGTTCCCGTGGCTCGGCTTGTGGAACAGCCGTGGCGTCGTGCTGCCCGATGATGTGGCGCCTGCGGATGCTTGGGCGTACTACTACCAGCACCAGGACCCCATGGACCTGCTGCTGGTCGCTGCCTATACGAAGCACAAAGTGGCCGCTGACATCGTGCCCCAGGATCTCTACGGGTTGCAGCTCAGGTGCTCAGCGGGCGACGCTGGGCAACTGGGCTTGGGGGAGCTGTTCGATCAATGGAGGAGCTGGCTCAGATGCACAGGCCCTCACGAGCTCCTACCGGTCTTCCTCGAGCCGCGGCATTTCCCCAGAGCACCTAGGGGGCGACCCTGGGTGGCCTGGGGGAGAGAAGGCGCCAGGGCACATCGAGCGCTATGTGGATGGCTGGAATGCCAGGATGCAGGCATGCTTCAGCTGGGCACCGCCTGCACAGAGTGCGGAGATCCCACCAGGCGCGTGTGCTGGGCATGCTGCGTCGGGATGTGTAGTGACTGCTTCACCTGGCGTGAGCCATGCAGCACTTGTGGAGGACGTAAGAAGATGTTTGCTGCAGGTTGATTTTATGACAGAGGAGGCACCTCTGAAGTCACCGCAGCATCTTTTTGCTCTCCGCACCTTAGCAATCTTGTTAGGGTGCAGCGCCATGGCATCAGGCGGCAAAGGCTACTATGCAGCTCAAGCGGCAGCTTCGTCCTCGTCAGGGGGTGACCCTGAACCGGGATGGAGAGCAGCCGACTCCTTGATGATGATAGCTGCACAGCGTGCGCGTCAATGGAGGGAGAACGAAGGTCTCCTGGACGACAACGACTTCGCCTATGCCTACACCGACTACGATCAAGTCGTTGGACTAGCTGGCCATCACGTAGCGGATGACTGGCTGCAGACAAGAGCAAGGGTGGAAGAGCACCTCCTTGCTGCTGGGGCCAAAGTCGTGGAGGACAACCCCAAGGGTTCCGTCACTCTGCGCCCTGTGCGCAAGACAATCTACAAGAAAAAGCCCAAGGCCGTCAACGTCACCAAGAACCTGGATGAGGCCGTCCAAAAGCGGGTGAACGGCTTGGTGTCGATGTTTGTCGGAATGGGCGCATACAAACCAGCTGGCATCTTGACAGACACCCTCAAGGCCGAATGGAAACAAACGTGCAAGAGGATCGCCGAGAAGAAGGTGAAGGACGCGGAGAAGGCGACCATTGACCGAGTGGTCAACACCTGGTTGGAGCTGAGGGCCTTCTTGGAGAGTCGGGGGCGACCCGCTCCTCCTGGAATGGTCGACCTGGATCAGTTCCTCAACCACACCCAGGCGCCAGCACGAGCACTCCAAGCCTTGAAATGGATGAACAAGAATGCCGACCAGGACATGGAGCTGGGAAACTTGCAAGTGCCTACAACACCCAGGGCGACTGGGCAGCGTGGGCAAGCACCGGTGGTGGAGCCGCCATTAGTGCAGGCCTTGGAGGACCGCATCACGGAGTTGCACGCGGTCGGCGATGAGAGGTGGTCAGTTCTTCTGGCTCCTTGGATCATGTCGTTTGGCTGTTTGAGGTATGCGCACATCGCGCGGTCAGAACCTCGGCGCCTCACCGCTGCATTCATCCATTGCAGGTGCCCTAAGGGAAAACAAAAGCATGCCCGCGAAGGTTTCGACTTTGCGGTGCCGGCCACATTCGCCAACGGCTTCTTTTGGGCCAAGGAAGTGCTGGAGGCGTACAGGACGCTGGCACCAGCAAGGCAGAGACTTGCAGGCCTTTGTTTTTCGGACGAAGGGCGCCCATGGACGATCCTAGAAGTGCAAGAGACGATGCAACAGGAAATGTCCGTGTTCCTCGACAATCCAGAAGATCTGACCACCTACAGCTGGAGGAGGCTTGCACCCACGGTGGCCCAGTTGTTAGGATGCAGGCCTGAAGAAATGGCAGCCCTGGGCGACTGGCAAAACAAGAGTGAGCAACCAGAGGTGGGGGCGATGGCATTTCACTATTCTTCGGCAAAATACGCTGCGTCAGTCAAGGTGAAATCCCTGATCTGGGGCGCTACGGCCAAGCTCGCTAGCAACCTGCTGTGGGAGGCGATCCCGCAGGCAGAGCTAGATGCAGCCCGAGCTCATGGCCTTACTGAAGCTGACAGGTTGCTGCGACAAGACCGCCAGCCTATTTGGGCCTCTGCACATAGCTTCCAGGACGTGAAGAAGAGGCTCAAGTTGTCACAGCAGTTTGTTGAAGCGGCACAGCAAGCCCGGCAAGAGGCCGAAGCCGCACCCGTGCACACTCGAAGAATAAGGCCATTTGCCCGGAGTTCCAGAAGGACGAGTGCCCGAATCCGGCAGACTCCTGCCCCTTCGGAGTGCACTTGTGTGCCATTCTACAAAAGTCAGGACGGGCATGTGGTGGCAAGCACGGTGCAGGCGTCTGCAACATCAAGAGGGCGGTGTTGGCCGCAACAGCAGTGCCAGCGGCACCCAAGCCATCGGCCACCTTGGTGCCGGCAGCCGTGGGGGAGAAGGCCACTTTTGGCCGGAAGAGGACCGCGGCGAGCGGTGCCACTGACGACGAGATGGCCGAGGGGATGCGCGCAGCTGTCAAGAAAGCCCGAGGTCAGGCTGCACCCAAGACTCCGCCCAAGGCGCCAGCCATTGCAGCCCCCAAGACACCTCCGAAGGCTGCAGCCGCTACACCTAAGCCACCGGTCACAGCTGCTAAGTCCAGGGCTACAACCACAACGCCGAAGCGCTTGGCCGCTCCTGGGAAGCCACAGACCAAGGCCATGCCAAAGAAAGGCCATGGCAAGGCAGCAGGAGACACCTTGGACCTCCACTTGGAGCGGTTGGGTGTGGGCTCAGGAACAGCCCAGGCCCCGACTTGCATCTGGACATCCCGGAAGGGTGGTGGCATCTACCTGGCAGGACTTCCAATGAGGCAGACGGTGGACAAGTTCCCCAAGACAGCGTTGCAGATCTGCTGCTTCCCGAATGGTCCTGAGAGCCGGGGGGGGGTGACCCTCCCGGGAGCTCAGTTGATGACCTTCGCGGCGGCATACAGCCAGGAACGCAACGAACAGTGGACAGACGTGTGGCCGGCCGTCAAGAACACTGTTTGGCACGGCGACAACGTCGTGGTGCACTGCATCAAGGGGCGACACCGGGGTGCTTTCTTAGGCATCCTCTGCCGTGCATTGCTGGCCGGCGAGTCCATTGAGGATGCCAACCACTACGTGGAGAGCCGCAGGGATACAGAGCTGAACAAGGTCATTTGCGACCAAGGCATGCGGAAGTGGCTGCACAAGACCTTCCAGGACACCGCGGTGGGAACACAGCACCCCGAGCCGCAGGGATATGCAGCTACGGAGAGGTCCAGCACCCATGTCACGGTCGAGGACGGCATCACCTTGTGCCAGCACAAGCAGGCCGATGGGAAGGCGAAGCGCCTGGTGAACCCATACATGTCCACGGACGTCTTTGAAGCTCTGGCATGGGAGCGCCCCTGGTGTGACCAGTGCCTCCGTCGAGCGCCAGCGTCATGGTGGCCGCCTGCCTAAGATGCCCAAGCCGAATTTTTGGCCTTTGCGCTGATCAGCAGCACTGGCCCGTTCCGGCCATGGAGAGCCGAATTCATCAGCTCGGGGCTTGGATAAGAGCTTCAATCCAGCCTGCATGACCGCCCCCAGCAGCAACATCATGCGCGAGAGGAAAATAGTAGAGCCAGGTGACTTTCAGTAGGGTGCCTACTGAGCAAGTGCCGTGCCCTCATGTCCTTTTGTTGTGTTTTTCAAGTTTTTCCTTTCATGACAACGCACAAGACCATCTGGGAGGGGGACCTCAGATAGTCTAGTGTACCATAGCTCTGTGGCGGCATGAAGGTGATGTCATGTGAGGTCGCAACATAGCTGTGCGTTGTACACATGTCCAGATTTCACATCAGTGTATGTCAGGGTCCATTTATTTCATGCCACGCCAGGCTGTTCCAGCACAACGCACGGGGGAGACCCGAGGCGCAGTTTTCAGTCAAAGGGAGAGGGTTCCCCAGAGGAAATCCTAAGGAAGTTGGGTGACAACTTCTCGTTGGATGATGGGGTAATTACAGCCCTGCTCCGGTTG